AAAACCCAGGGGCAGAGCTCTTGGAAGCTTTGAGCCTGGGCAGTCTTGTGAGAGCAAAGGTCCACGGAGGCCTGTGAATATCCAGGCTTTGCCACTCTAATATTCCTGCTAGTCTGTCACCTTGTACCCTTCTCCTTTTGTCTCCTTTAATCTTACACCCACTACTGAAACGGGAAATCAGTTCAACGAGCCTAAATCTGGGAACGCGTACAGGACGACAATGTTGACTCATTTATTCCCTGAACATTCTTCTGTCAACTCCAGGACAGCAAGTCCACAAAAGCCTCCTACACGCTGTCTAACAAAGCCCAAGTTATTAAATGCACGTTCTTCTCCTCTTGCTCCTCCTCAGCCCCTACCAATCCTCCTCTCCTCATACACGGGGTCGACCCACACTCACATCCACATTGCTGAGTGCCGGCGCACGCTGCAAACTGCTGGGACACGCTGGATCCTTGCAGCGCTTGCGGATCACACGAAGCCTATGCCACAATTCATTGTTCAGCCAGCTGGAAGTTAAACCTTGCAAGTTAAGAAATGCTGGGCTGCTAGACTACAAATATAGCTGTCAGTTAATGTCACCAGCTGCTGAGGTAAGGAAAGCGACTCAAGGAGAAGGGAGCTCTGCACCTGTAAATAAATGCTGTTACTGGTGACAGGCTTGGAACCTACTGAACTGCTGATCGTCTTGCTGGAACATCCCGGGCTTCCTTACCGGCAAGTGAAGCGGAGCAGAACTGCCTCCTCACGTTAAGAGAAACGTAGAAGCTCACCATGTTTCACGTGCTGCTTGGAATATACCTGATTAAAAGTCAGGGCTGAAGCACAGACACAAACCTTCAATTTTCAGACATACATCCCGATATCTGCTTTACATGACCTCACTGAGGTCGCAGGGTGTGCTGGAGAGTTAAGAGGTCGAGAAATACCGAGGTGCCGTATAGTGATGGAGGACCTGGGCAGAAGCAGAGACTGCAAATCAGTTTTTTGTTTTTCCTGCACAAGGGCTCAAATGTTACGGTGTCAGAGGACGTCCAAGTATCTAGATAGGATATTAAGAATCTGACTGGAGGTAGTCCTGGGCAAGCTGCGCTAGCTGGCCGTGCTTTGAGCTGAAGGTTGGACTAGCCGACCTCCAGGCGTCTCCTTCCAACCTCATCCGCTCAGTGGTTTCACAAGGGACTACACCAGGGGCACCCTGAAAGGCGAGTCAGGAAGACACGTTACCTTTTCTGAGAACAAACGGTATGGCTGGAGAAAAGAAAAAAAAAAGCAGAGCAGCTTCCAGGCACATAAGCTCCACGGGTGTAACCACAGATATCCTCTCCACGAGTCCCTAGGCTTGAGAAACGACAGCAGCAGCGCAGACCTAGAAAGCAGCGTGACGGCAGGGCACGAGAGGGTTACGGAAACAGCCCTGACGGTATTATCTCGGGTGATGCCATTTACCACGTTTGCCACCACAGCATGAGATCCACAAAGACATTTCGTCACACGACTGAGCCATCCACGTAGTTTCCAGGGCCTGTGATGGGCTGAAGTTGCAGACTGAATCAGCTGGTGGACCGAGGGAGTGGAGCCTCTTGCGGCATAATTAACACCACCCCAAATCCACCAGGGACGCACCGCAGAAAGCTCGCTGCTCTTGCCAGATCTGGAGAAGCAAGGAGGCCCAGCGGGAGGCCCAAAGAAGTCAACTTTGTGCGGATGAATAACAACTGCTTCTCCTTGCAGCTCTGCCTGTTCGCGCCATGCCCCGTGAATCACGGCTGTGCAGCGCGGAGACGTCACCGCAAGAATTTCCACGGGTACGACTCACAGATACGCAGGCTAAGGACAGCGCTGGGGATTACTGACTGCGGGAAGCACTTCTAGCAGAAGCCCTGGCTTTGCTGAACCTCCTGCCCTGTGTTGAACACGGCATACACAGATACATGTCCGTCAAGAGTCAGGCAAGCTACCCTGAATTTACCCAGTGGGTGCCTTGCACAGCCACTGAGGACGGACAGACAGACATCTCCAACATGCTCCTTCTGACCTTGGGTTATTGCTGTCACAGGGCCCGCACCAGTGCTCAGCCAAGCACCTTGGGCAGCACCTCTCAACGCACCACCAGCTGGGGCACCGCGCTGGCTTTTGCCCGCTGCGTGGCTCGAAGCTGGCACTGCGGGTTTTCTAAATCCATGGCTACGTTAAAGACTTCCAACTTCTGCCTTGTCCTCACAGGCACACGTGCTCCACCACCCGCAGTACGTACTGCAGGCTGGCTGGCAATCTATTTTTCCACCGTGTAGGAGGCCCACGCCTCTCTGCCATCTGCCACCATTCATTTTTCATTGCTTCTGAAAACAACCCGAAAATAACGCCGCTCTGATTAACTTTAATGAAGCAGGAAACCCTCTGAGCACATTTATCCCAAATAATCTGCTTGCTGCGCTGTCGCACCTACTGCCTTTGCCTGTCTTACCCTCCTGCACTCCTGAATCCGTTCGTTTGCTCTTGGTTTGGCTGTAACGAGTGGACTGCTCAGTTCCCACGAGAACAGAGTCAGTGGAAAATGAGGGGAAATCTAGAAATGATTTTAAGATCATCTAATAATGTAATGCATAGCAACAAATAGAAATTCGTAAGAAAATATGGATTCTGCCCTACTAGACAAGGGCTTAGATGTGTGCAATGAATTACAAAAATCCCCTTAGCTCCTTCTGAACATCTGCAAGACCAAACAGCTCCCTCCAGTCAAAAATGGGATAACTGAAGGCGTCTACGTTGACAGCTGACCAGCGATGGCCAAAGTCCATTTAATAAGCCCAATGCCCCCTGACAAATCAGCACCTAGTGTTGCCTCTTGCCAATACCAGTTACACTACCCTGAATTTCCACAGACACAAATGTCCTTGCCCGGGGCTCTGGCTTGGTGGGGTTTCCTCTTTCTCCACCCATAACAGGTTTCAGATCACTCCTCCCTGCACAGCAGTGCCAGCAGAGCTGCAGGCTGTTTCAGAACTGGACAGGAGAAGCAGGCAGAGACCCTGGATGGGGCTGGCTGAGAGGACTGGCACACTCACTGAAGAGGCTGTCGCTGCAAGCCATCCTACCTCTGCTGAGGATTTCATCTTCCAGAAATCCCAACTTGGCACCTCCCAACCACCTACATTCACTCTGAGAGAGAGACAGAATTCTCAGAGGGAGGAAGAGAACAAGAGCATCAGTGTCCTTCCTTGACCTGGGAGAGACCTGAAAGCCTTCGTACATACCCACACGTTCTCGTGCCCGCAGACGGCACCTAAATCACGTTCTGAGCCTCCGCCGTGCCGTGCACCCGGGTAACCACGCTCAAATACAGCTCCTGAAACTCTCCCAACACTTAGCCTTTGCCTGAGCAATGAACAAAACCCCAGTGGCTTTGGCACTAATACTATTCCGAGTGAAGCTGAAGTTTCCCGTTCCACGTCAGCGGCCAGACAACTTGCTGACAAGTGCTTGCTTCGGTGTGTTTAGGCGGTGGCTTCCTTCTCACTGCTCCCGAAACGCAAAATGAGGGGCAACAAAAGCGTATTTCTGCTACTTTGCTTTTGCATCATTACTGTTCATTCCATGCATCAAAGGAGCTTACGTTAAAGCCTTCAGCTGCCCAAAGAAGGATCAGCTGCTGCATCAAGTCTGCAAAAAAGTGAACTCCCTTTTCCTAAGCAAGCGAATGCTCTCTGAACCAAACTAGGATTGTATCGGACGGTATGAAAATAGTGGCAAAGCACCTTTTCTCCCCAGTCTGTGTTCTGCAAACACAGTAGTTTCTAAGCACAGCAGAAAGATAAGCTAACACGGTTACTTTGCAACATTCCCATAACAAAAAATGATTGCTGTTTTCTGACCTGTAATAGATATAATAAAATAACAGCACCTGCTTCAGTAAGTGCAATGCGCCAGTAAGTAAATAACGACTCCTGCCCCTGTACTCTGCCACAACATTCTCACATTTGGGGTGTTCGCCCCTCTGCCTCCAGCTGGATGGAGCTGCCTCCCCCAGGCAGTTCAGGCAGCTCCTGAAGTGACAAGGCTCAGTGAAAAGGCTCTGCACAGCAGAGCTTTCATTACCAGGAAATCTGTCTCCTGATTCTTGGGCGCAATTATTGACACCAAGGCCTGGCCCTTGCCTCTAAGGCGAAGGCTTCGTGCTGGAGCTCCCACCTGGACCTAGGACGTGCTCAGCGACAGCGTGGGGCATTGGCACCGCACGATACGTGCCTCAAGGGTGAAGAATACAAACAGCTGCTCGCACGAAGTAACGCGGCCGCGCATAGCTGCCACGAAGCTCTGTCATCTCAAGGGCAAAATCTGATGTATTGCCGTGAGGATAATGATAAAAATATAAAGGCATGCGTCTTGTTCCATCCCCTAAAAAAGGGCCTTGGCCAAGGCGAAGAGAATTCTGCAGGTTGCCAATAGAGACTTTCACGCTTACAGAGTACGCGACGCGTGATCATCGTGCACAGCGGGAAAAGGACGAAAGGATTTCCCACGGCTCGATACCGTGCATTCACCTCTGGACAGGAGTCTGTAGAGCTCCCGCACCCTACTGGGCCAAATCCTTAGTGGGGCCAACTGGCAAAGTGCTGCTGTATGTGTGGAAGGTGGGAGGTTTGGCTGGAGAGCTGCACAATAATTTCTTGAAGTAAGAAATGATACCGATTTCTATTAATACAGGGGGGAATAACTTACACAGACACACACACGCACGCATAGACGCCAACACTGATGTCTTACACAGGTAACACACACACGGCTCATGTCACGTACAGCTGCCTCTCAACGACCGCTTAATGTTGAAATATACAGTCCAAAAGTAGGAATGTACAATTATATTTCAAAATAGCAAGGCTTCCTCCCCACCCCCCTTCCCTATCCAAATTCATGGACCATGCATTGCAACAGGATTTGCTACCTCAGCCAGGAGCTCTAAGTCTGGGTGAGCCTGAAGGTCTTTATAAGCCTCATACCTGAACCCTCGTGTAGCCTGACAGATACTGAGCGCGTCCTGCCTCCTTTCCTGGATGCTCCTTAGTTTCCGGCATAACATCAGCGCTTCTGTGATGGTGATGGTGGGACTTCTGATCATGGTGGCCATCCCTTTTCCTGGCTTCCGTGTCAAACAAGACGTGGCTTAGCCTGTCCAGATAGTTCTCCAGCTCTTCCTGGGTGTGCTCCAGTTGTTTGCCAACATTACTGGGAAAAAAGGAAGAGGTCGGCGGGGGGCTTTTGCTTTCCCTCTCCTTCTTGGCCTCTTCCACGTGCGGGTTATGCCTCATTAGAAGCAGCACCATGATAAGCAAGATCAGGCAGAGATACACAACCCAGACTTCTTCCATCTTGGTGGTGAGATACCAAGGAGCTGGTGGCACCTGTTGGTGTGCTCAAAGGGAAGACGACGAATGGGCCAAATACAGTAGGTGGTCAGCAATTCCCAGCTGTCAGCATCCACGGGAAGGACTGGTGCCAGTAACCAAAGCACTGTGGTAGCTGATGTCAAAGTTCAGTTTTCTAAAGTGGCGTGGCTTACAAACCTTCCTCAGTTCTAAATATGACAGCAGCACAAACAGCGAGCAGCAAGGGACTAGAAGCAAAGAGAAACCAACTTTGTCCTTAGAGTAAAATAACTTCAGCCGGAAGGTAGAGGATAACCTGTCACAGCCCCAGGTGATCTCCAGACAGCAGTATTTCCCCTCTTTTTGTGTTAAGGAGCTGCAGGTTCAATGCCTGTTACTCTTCAAATAACTTTCCTTCTGTCACAGTGTTCAAATTGTTGTCTTGCTTGAAGCAGTAAGTCGTCTTTTTTCTAATTCAAAGAAAAGATAAGTTAGGATCGGAGTTTCCCTCCCCAAAGGCAGGTAAGAGAATACTTTATCCTTTAGGGGTCATTAGCTGCTGAGCCCACAGTCTGCTCTCAGCACCCTTCAGAAACATTTAAGTGGCAGAAGGGAATAGCAGTCACCTGAGTTACAGATTCAGC